TTTGTACAGCACCTAGCACAACGGTCCGTGACTAGAGCTCGTGGGGGCTACAGTAATACAAATAAATAATGGTTTTAAGTAAAGAATTAATCTTTCTTTCTTTCTCTAATACCCTTCTCCACTCTGACCTTAACCCCTTCATTTCTTCCCCACTCTTTCCTCTTCATCGTTGTTTCTCTATGGCCTGGTCTACACTGAGGGGGGGGATCGATCTAAGATATGCAACTTCAGCTACGAGAATAGCGTAGCTGAAGTCGATGTATCTTAGGTTGACTTAGAATCACTTACTTTGCGTCCTCGCAACACGGGATCGACGGCCGGCGCTCCCTCGTCGACTTTGCTTCCGCTTATCGCCGAGCTGGAATTCAGCAGTTGATGGGAGAGCGATCAGGGATTGATTTATCGCGCCTACACTACACGTGATAAATCGATCCCCGATAGAGTGATCGCTACCTTATTTCTTTCATCTGTTGCAGCGTATCATTTCCCTGCCCCGTAGTCCCTTCCTAGATGTTGTGGACATCAGTTAGGGTGAATACATTTTAACTGTTGGAAAAACCTGCCCCAGCAACAAGCAGGGAGACTTCTATATACTTTTGAATAGCTCTGCTGTTTCCAGGCCACCCTCAGTAGATCCGACAGGTGCTGACGTAACCAAATGCGATCAACCAGAATCCTCTCTTCCACCGAGGCTCTCCTGAACAGGGATGGACACAGTTGCAAAGTCTGAATCTGGATCTCAAAGTTCATGGATGTCGACATACAGAGTCTGCTCACTCTCAAATTCTAGATCCTCTCATACACTTCCTCATGGCTGGCAGTGATTGTATCTGAAGTTTTTGCTCAGCTCTCTCTCTCTCTCTTCCCAGCTTGCTAATGATTTTGTGTCTCTAAGGGGATGTCTACACTGTACTGTAACCCAGGGTTAGTAGAACACGAGCTAGCAGACCTGGGGTTTGTTTAGCTAGGGGTTGAGCATCGCCACTAGTTTGTAACCCCAGGTTAGGAATTGTTGAACCCTGTGTCCCAACCTGGGGCTCCAGTGTCTACACTGCATTGTCCGAACCTGAGTCCAACCACCTATATCCCAGACTTCCTCTCACCCTCCCAAAATGTGGCTTTTCTAGCCCTTTGTTTATGGTGCACTTTGGACAAACTTGACCACCACATTTGACTGTCCAGAGGACAAAGTCAGCCCATGGGATTGTGGGACACTTTTGGTAGACTCACAGAGCACAAGTTCTGTGGGCCTGTGTCTACAGTGCAGAGCAATAGGGCTTGAATCCTGGCTCCTAGCTTGCCTCAGGCTTGGACCCTTCACCCCTCTGGGCTCCTAGAACCCTGGGTCCAAATTTTGGGTTAACGCAATTTGTGTGTAGACAAAAGAGGGGCAGATTAGTCCTTGAGTTCAGGTGTTGGGGAGAAGTTCATTGCATACCAAATGGAATGGGTGGAGAGTGGCAGGGAATTGGCTCTGCCCCCACAACACACACTATATCTGAGTCAGCTCCCCAGAGGTGGTAATTTACTATTGGTGTAGACCAAGGGTATATTACTGTCTCACTAGAGCCAGCTTGGAGCAGAGAAGGAATTGTGGCTTCTGGGTATATAATACCAGGTGACATAAGTGAAGAGCGCACAATACAAATGGCAACTCTCCAAAGCAAGAGCGGCAGAGAATAGTTTGAGAGCACTCCATAGACTGAGATATGTCCTCATGAACCATATTTTGAATAAGGTATAAATTAGTAGGAATCTAAGTCTGTTCTAAGAGAATTCACAAACAGCCAAAGGTCAATTGTTCACTCAGGTCTTATGAAGACCCAGCATTTGAGTGTTTTAAAATGAGACTAGTCATGACACCACAAGACATACTATAGAGAGCAATGATGCTTGTGCAGAGAGATGGCTCTTCCATTTCAAGTATAAACATAAGGCTTTGCCCATATATATATATATATATTTTTTTTCACTTTAATTCAGTACTTTATCACCAGCTTTCCCCATATGGCAAAATCAAATTCAGAGTTGCAGGATCACAGGAACACACAATGCTATTTCCATTAACTTGAACGGAGGAAGCAAATGGTAGCTCACCTGAATCTTTGTCAGTATTGAGGGTCACATTGCATGGTGCATCTCAGAAATCCCAACTTCTTGAGCAAGTATAGCCTGAAAATGTTGTCAGCATTTTAAAACTCTATTCATCTCTTAAAGAGGAATATCTATATCAGATGCTCTAATCTGTTGATGCTCCAATGGCAGTCCACAGGAAGTCCTTGCTCTTACCGGTTGTTTAGGGCCTAACCCAAAGCCTATTGAAGCCAATGGAAAGACTCCCATTGGCTTTAGCTCAGGTCACTAATGCATTTGGCCGTAGCAAGGCCAATAGTGTTTTCAATAACTGCCATCTGGAGGTTTACTATGTTAAGAAAATTGTTACTAAAAACAAACATTCTGAAAGGGCAACAATCCTTCCTGAAACCACCAGCACCATTTTTTGAATACACTTTCGACAGCGTTTCCTTAGGAGTAGGCCAAATCTGGTGCTCTGCAGATGAGCTGCACCAAACCCATGAACTGCATACGTCCTACCTAAGCCATCAAAACGGGCCTAAAGTGGGCTGTGGGCCAGCCCTCTGCACCGTGGCAAACCTCCCCCCGAGGGGACAGCTAACTTTGCACATAAAAGGTTGGTAGCTTTGATTCCGCTACAAATATTCTTACTCTCACAGGGGAGGTTAGAGATTGGTGACTGGAAACTTTTGCATTTGCTTCATTGAAGCCAGCAGCAAAACTCGCACTGACCTCAGTGAGAACAAACCCAGACCCTGTATTTGAATCACACCACCCATGAGTGGTGCTGCATTTTAAATACTTGGGCAAACATTGCAGGAGACTGAAGTCCTCTGTCCAGCCAACAGGTTCCGTTGTGGGCAGAAACAGTGCAAATGTCCCCATGCTGTCCTGCCACTTTGCCTCAATCCTTTCTTTGACTATCTTTTCGAGGGAAAGAATAATCCATGCTTCCCGCCTATACGTTCCTTGGGCTGCGTGATGTGACAGCTGAAAGTTGCCAGCTGTGATTCTGGCTTTTGTTTTGTCGATGTTTGTTCACTTGGAACTGGCTTGAGGCTACCCAATTCATTTCATGTACACCAACCAATGACTGTCAAACTTTTAAATTATTTCCAAGCTGGGCTGGGTTCCTGTATCATATAGAGATAAAAGCTCCATGACTCAGAATCACCTCATCCTCTGGTTCCTGGTGTATAAGAAACAGTGGAGGCAAAGACAGATCCTCAGCTGATATAAATGAAGCCACTGAATTACACCAACTAGGGATTTGGCCCAAAAAGTTGTGTGTAGAATGGGTGTTTTTCAAACTTTCAGCTCTATCTAAAATTTAGGTGCAAATTCTGACCTCAGTTCCACCCCATCGCCTTTTTTTTAGAATTTGGTCTTTCATGCTCATATTGAATATTGCATCTTCACAGCTCATGGTTTATTAATAATAAGAACTTCATTTCCTTCTGGCTTCTTTTACAAGTAGTTATTTTACTTTCCCTTAAGGTGTAAATAAAAAAACAATTCTCACCCACCCCATCATTCTTCCAAATGAACCTGTTCTGAACAGT